CCATTTTGGTTACACTCGAACCATTCCGGCAAAAGAAACATTAACTTTTTTTAATATTTTCACGTATATTGCTCAACACTTTCTGATGAGCAAATTGGTCAATATTAACTGAAACTAGATATAAACATATATTTGTAAATTTTTTCATTACTTTAGTGGGAGTTTTCAACCCATTTAATTGATCTAAATTATAGTTTTTATAAAAAATAAGAAGTTCATCGTTCTGGGTAATATCTTCAGAACCTTTTAACCTAATTTCACAAAATTGGCATTTAAATTTGTCTAAAACTTTTTTTACCAAGTACCCAGAAAAATAAACGGTAGAACAACTCTCCAAAGAAAATGAATTGTCGGAAAGAGAGGAAACTAATTTAGATTTTAAAGAAGTTTCCACGTTTGTTTCCTCTTCATCATCATAGTTCTCTTTATCTTCTTCCTCTTCTTCTTCTTCTTCCTCTTCTTCTTCTTCTTCCTCTTCTTCTTCTTCCTCTTCTTCTTCTTCTTCCTCTTCTTCTTCTTCTTCCTCTTCTTCTTCCTCTTCTTCTTCTTCCTCTTCTTCTTCCTCTTCTTCTTCCTCTTCTTCTTCCTCTTCTTCTTCATCTTCCTTCCTCTTCTTCTTCCTCTTCTTCTTCCTCTTCTTCTTCTTCTTCCTCTTCCTCTTCTTCCTCCTCTTCTTCTTCCTCTTCTTCTTCCTCTTCATCTTCTTCTTCCTCTTCTTCATCCTCTTCTATATTCATATTTTGCAAAATATCGTTTGACGTAGAACAACTCTCCAAAATATTTTCATCATTGTCTGGTTTTGAACCAGCATTTGCGGAAACTGGGGGCTTGGATTTCTATCGTAACCGCGTTTTTGTCTGTATACCTAAAACTGATTTTCTAGTGGGTCTTGAATAAGGCGACCAGTAAAAATATACCTGTATCTAGCTTGTTTTACTTCTGTCCAAATTTGCTTGATTGCATTTATTGTTATTAAAAATCCACCAGGTCGGGTTAATTTTCCCTTGGAATTTTGTTTGTACAGATTTGATATTAAATCATAACCTGAATTTAGAGCTGTGACAACCTCTTGATTCTTATCACAATATACTCTCTTGTAGAGATTTGATGCTCGGACACGTGTACTATTTAAGGCATCGAAAATATTATTCATAGTCTCTACAAAGAACGCAGTATTTTCGACAGTGCTAGAATTTAACTGCCCTGTTCTCGTAGATGTTTTAATAGCAGCTGCAACGCTGTGACTTAATCATTGTGTGGCTAATTTAACACTCATTTTTTGAAAGACATTTGGGTGTAAGTGTCTTTCTGGAACTTTTAAAAGAGCTTTTCCAGTTTTACTGCGGTTATGAAAATGGCATTTTTAGTGGCAGTTTTTAATTTACCACTTCACCACTTACAACCGGAGTTTAAATGTCGTAAAACACCCTGTATTTTTATCAAATCTTTAGATTTGTGTAGTTGTCTTTGAAATTTGGCATACCTAATTATATGGGAAAAGCTTTTCTTTATTATTTTTAAAACTTATGCCAACCAAATGTTGGCAACTATTAAATTGTAGGTATTTTTTTAAAGATATTATTTGTAAACTTACGAAAATGCACATAGATTAAAGATTACTTTGCAGATTACATTACATACGTATTTTATCAAAAATAAAAGTATAACTGGCTACTTACTTTTAACGGCGACTGGTTAGATACCTACTTACAAAAAAAAAACGATAGGCAATAAATGTCTAGTGTTTATAATTATTTATAACACAAAAATACAAATGTCTAGTGTTTATAACTATAACACAAAAATGCACAATTTTTAACCAAAAACTATTGTTTGATGCAAAAAACTCATTTATACCACCGTGAGATTGATTTTCAGTCGGCGGGATGTTCGTTTTACAAATACCTACTTTAGGTAGGTAGGAATAGGTATTCATTCATGTTTTTGAAACCATACTTATATTTGAATTAGTAGGTACTGAAGTTATATACATAAAATTTATAATTACTTTAATCATACCTACGTAGGTATATAGAGGATAGGGGTAGATAGGTATCCTACCTATCTATCTATCTATCTACTTAAAAATTTAATTAATTTTTTTTTGCATAGATTAAATCTCTTATTTCGAAAAAGTACCTATTCCTACCAAAATTGTAGGTAGGTAGAATGTTATGATAATTAACGCACGAAGTTTAATTTATTAACTCGTAAAACTACCCTGCTCATATTACCTATATAATAAATATATTATATTTATATTAAATTTAGGTAATAACAAATCTAATCTTAATTAGGTACATAGAAATATGTAAGTCCTACATAGAGGTTTTAGGTAATTATTCAACGGCTAATTATAGCAGCTGATAGTAACAATAATAAAAACAACCAGCCAAGCGCCTGATTTAAATTTACCTAATCTAATAACAAAGAGAAAAAGATTTGTTATTTCATGCATTCTCAAAAATAATTGCAGGTAAAATTTCCTTCCCTACATATTTCTTCGCTTCGATGCAATGTTGCCATTTAAATAATTTAAGGTTTGTTTTAATTGATTTTTATTTAAAAATACAATCTGATATTTTATTAAACTCTGTAGTCTCGGCTGTAATATAATAATACAATAATCAGTAATTTCGGTAATTAATTTAGATATAAAATTTCTCCGATAATTTTTACTCTGGCAACAATGATTTTCCTAAGTTAATCATTTAGGTGGACTAAAAATGGTAACTCATCCATCCTCTTTTGGAATTTAATTTTAAATGAAATGATACATGGATAGAAAATGGCGTTCATTATATACTCTTGGGAACTCAAAAATAGTCGCCATCTATTTGCTGTCTCCAAAATATTCAAACCTTTCGGTCTATGTCTCTGACCAACTATCTCTACTCTTTAAACAATGATAGTACACTACAGATACATAAAGTTCTAAATGGTATATTTAAAATATCAATTAAAATAAAAAAAGAAATTAATAAAATTGTCACAGTAGACTATATAAAATATTATTTTATATAGTCTATTTTTGAAGGCAATACATTCTCGAAGTTCATTTTGGATATTTAATGTTTTTTATAGTCTTTTTTGGATCAAAACCGTTTGATAAAAAAATTGGAAAGTATGGGTATAGTAGAGCAAGCATTGGAGTAGTGTGTGGATTATCTAAGTAAGAGGAAACAAAAGTTAAAAGTAAATAACATTTTGTCAGAGGAAATTAACTATATCAGAGGTGTTCCGCAGGGAAGTATATTGGGTTCCCTGTTCTGTTTTTAGTGTATATCAATAACATTGTTGATTTCAAGGGTTAATGTGACATTCATCTGTTTGCTGATGATGCCCTAATATATTTTTCTTGTAAGGATTCAGATAACTTGGTAAGAAACACTGCAACATGTTTATAAATGATGTTGCAATAATTTGTTGAAAATTAACATAAAACAAAATGTATGCTGATAAGTAGCAACTATAACTATACACAGTTTGTTGATAAACAATATAACATAACAATTAGAAGAAATTCTAAACACTGTTATCAAAACTATTGCATTTAAGTTAAATTTCCTATTTAGAAATGCATTTGGCTTATCACAGTGGACTAAATGTATTGTATATAACACTATAATTCTACCTCACTTTAATTATTGCTCTACAATACTCTTTTTACTAAATCAAAATGAGTTAAACTGACTACAGAAGCTGCAGAATAGGGCTATGCGAATAATATCCTGTTCAAAATATACTTCCATTAATCTAATGCTTGAAACTTTGAGGTAGATGCCAATCAAAAGTCTCTTTTTATTGCATATTGTGATATTAGCAAACTAGCTAAATCAAGGAAATAATAATATTTGACAGCGCATTGGCCAAAGTGAAGAGGAGCCTTGTTAAGACTAATCAGTCTTAAACACTGTATTATAAATATATAATTTTATTTGAATGTAATTATTAACAAGTTTCTTAATAATTTGTAAAACCAGTTGATAATAAAAATAATGTGTATTAATAACATTTAATTAAATGTTATTATAATACAACATTTTGTTATACAATAATTTTATAAACATTTACTTAGCTACTACCATACCATTTACCAAATATATCTTTTTAAATGTTGATTTGTCTGTGAGAATACGGATAGTATCAGTCAATCAACATTTTGATAGACATTATGGCGAATGTACATTTTTAACTGTCATTCGAGAATAGGGCCCCAGGGCAGGGACTCTTATAAGCAAACTCAACACTTTATGTGTTGAATAGAGAGAGACATTACATAAGAATTGGATTCTGTCGAACGAAGATAGGTATCTTGACATGTGCCATATTGAAATATGAGAATCCCCATTGTTGATATGCTATTTTTACATCTTATATACTGTTGCCAAGTTACACAAAAAGTTTTGTAGCACTCCAGAATCCAAGGGCAGTATATCTAGGAGGATATCAAATAGAAGAGGGAGATTTACCTAACTTGAAGCCACTTCAAATCCAACACTTTCTTGAGAAAATAGGATTGGAAGGGTCGCTATAGGCATTGAGATATTTCCTTAGTGCAGTGGCGACAGAAGGGGGCACAATAGATCTTTTAGGTCGCAGTGTATTAACACCCCATTCTCAACATAACATAACATACACAAAAAGTTTACTATCCAATTATTTATTATCAAAAATACAGCAATTATTGATTTTCAATAATTTTTCTTGCCCTAACAATATTTTAAATTATACGTTATTTTGACCACCCAGAGGCCAGAACCCCTATTCACTTCCTTTCCCATAAAAATAATATTTGAAAATACGGTATATTTTTATTTAAATATTATTTGTGTCATTATTAATTTGCATAAGTATAGAACTTGGGTTTTTAGTTTACAATAGCAATACCTATTAGTTTTTACGCAAGCGAAAAGATCTGAAACTGGACATTTATCTTCTGCTAAGATTTTACTATGGTTGATATCAATTAAAAAATAAATATATAAGTAGGTACTTACTATGACGGAATAAGAAGAAGTTTTACAAATGAAGTCAATAAGGTGGTAGTGAAAATCATTATCGAGCAGATTCACATATCTCATTCAATAATTAAATTATTTTAATTTTTATTTTACAAGTAGTATATAAAAATTTTAAATATTTTTTTTTTCTTCCAATTTCCACTTCTTTTATTTGTCTTGTGTCTCGTGCCTTGCTTCATATCATCCAGCAGCCAATAAAACTCAATTTTCTAATAATTGTTTTAACCTTTTTTTCTTGTTTACAAACTAAAGATGATATACATACCTTGAATCTGTAGCTATTTTTTTTACTTCTAGAGTACTATAAATTGTGTAAAAAATTTAAGAAAAAAAAAATACACAAAATAATTTTTTATTTGACTGACCACTGCTTCAGCTAGATCAGGCCACTCTTTTTATATGAAGTTACCGAAACCGAAACGTCCTGCTAATTTAGCTCGAAAAGAAGACTATTTTAAGTATTTTAACCATAGATAAAATTGATTTATAAAGTAAATTATTTTTAATTATTCTAAAAAAATATGGCAATTTTAAAAGGATGGCGGTATGTAGCATTAATTAGCGGTCTTGTTGGTGGTATAGGTTTAGCAATATATCCAATTATAGTAGACCCAATGTTAAATCCAGATAAATACAGTTAAGGATTTTTAATATTTGTGGTCCCTAAATGTTTTATTAGCAGTCTTTAATTTCAGAGCAAATTCAAGAAGTGACTAGGGCAGGAATTAAACAAGAGGACATTCAACCTGGGAGTAAGTTTTTTTTTATTTAATATGCCAAAATATAAAAATGTATGGGATACAAGTTGCACATATGACAAGTCAAAATATTTAGTACAGTAGATTATAAGAACTAGGTTGCCTTGTATCTAAGTACTCTCACATAAATTAATTAAAAAAAGAATGTTAACATATTGAAGAACATCGAACATCCAGTTTATAAACAATTTGAAAAATAGGTAAAGATAATGTTATTTATTGTGTTAAAGAATTCTGAAAGCTTAAAATGGATTTTTGACAAAACATTAGTTTACGAATTATTGTTTAAACTGAGTAGTTGGCCTAATCTGTGATTGAATACGATTGTACACTTTGGCTGGCATTCTTATTCTTAATAATAATAATAATAATAATAATAATAAACACAATTTAAAATCTACATTTAAATATACATACATACATACACATACATATATATTATGTTACCTAGTAATAATCCTTATTATAAAAACATTTTGTTACTAAAAATGTTTTTAATGTTTGTTTAAAGCTGTTAATGGATTTTTTGTTTTTAATATCAGCTGGCAGTTTATTAAATAATCGAATTCCTGTATATTCAGGACTATGTTTATAGAGTGCAGATACATGCCTAATTGTACATAACATATTGCCATTACGAGTGGGATAGTTGTGACAATCATTGTTCTTGAAAAATTTAACTTCACTTTTTTTTGTATAAAGGATTCTTATAAATATATATATTGAGGGTAGAGTGAGTATGTGATATATAATAAAATGATCCCTGCATGTTTGTCTTGATTCCAGATCGAAGATAAGTTAATTGCTCTTTTTTGTGCAATAAAAACTCTTGTAGCAGCAGGAGAATTTCCCCAGAGTGTGAATATAGAATTGCATAATATACCTGTAGTTTGTTTGTTTGTTAAATGTAAATATCTGTTTTAATTGAAGTAGATCACAACAACCACTATTAACTTTTTTACAGATGTAATTAATATTTTATTCTCAGCTCATATCACTATCTAAAATTTTATTTTCTGCGACAAGTAGACATTGTAATTTATCTTTACACATATATTATCATAAATTCTATTCCTTGAAAAAAACTGAAGAGTAACTGTTTTATCAGAATTTAAGATTAAGGAATTTTTATTGCACCAAGTTGAAAAATCTGAAGCTACTAAGTGAAGTTTCTTCTGCAACTCATCTGGAGAAGTTACATGTTACATGAGATGCTAAAGTTGTATCGTCGGCATAGAGATGAGGCTGAAGCTAGCAGACAAACAGCGCGGCGATCTCCAAATGTTTTGATGCTGTTATTTGGCAAAATCTTTGGTTTAGGTGCACTTTTAGTATCATGAAAGTTTAGAAATAAATAAGTATTAGTGTATTTATTGAAAAAAAAATCTGATGTGTCCAACACATGACTTTCCTATCTAGTTATTACAGGCTTTTTCCGGTTATTTTGTACAACCTATTGCAGCATCTCTATAAATGTTTAGAGGATAAACTAAATATATACATTGTCCACATACATCTACCGCGAAACATGTTTCTATAGATATTCATTGAAAATGAAAATACTGAAAAATTTAAATTAAGCACTTTTCCTACAATTTTTCCATTACGGTCCATTTAAAAAAAATCATGTATGAACAAATATTATAGAGATCGATATCGCAAACAACTTTTATTTCAACAATTTTCATAAAAATCAGAATTTTGCACATTTTGTCAAATTTTTCGAATACGGACCATTTCAGGAAATTTTTACATAAAACAAAAATTATAGATAATAATATTAGAAGTAACTTTTATTTGAACAATTTTTTTCTCCAAACATAAATAACAGATATATTCCATAAAATATAAAAACGGCCTCCCATAAAGTACCCCTCCAGATGTTCCGACTTTGTCCAAAATCTAATCATTTCACGTCAAGCCGAAATAAAACTTAAGTTTAAAATTTAATGTTTTTTTCTTTATCCGTTTTTGAGTTTTCTTAAAATTTCGAAATTTACACATTTTCTCAAATATCTGGAATACGGTCCATTTTAGAGAAATTATCTATAGGATAAAAATTATAGAGAATTATATTAAAAACAACTTTTGTTTGAATAATTTTTATAAAAAAAAATATTTTTTTACATTTTGTCAAATTTAGCGAATACGGACCATTTTAGGAAAATTTTGTATATAACAAAAATTATAGATAATAAAATAAGAAGTAACTTTTATTTGAAGAATTTTCTTCCCCAAACGTAAATAACAGATATATTCCATAAAATATAAAAATGACCACCTATAAAGTACCCCCCCAGATGTTCCGACTCTGCCCAAAATCTAATCAGCTCATTAGACGCTGGAACAAAGCTTAAGTTTGAAATTTGGTGTTTTTCCGGGTATCGGTTCATGAGTTATGCGTTATACAGACACACACACACACACACACACACACACACACACACACACACACACACACACACAGACACACACACATCATCGCGAAAATAGTCAAAACGAATTCAGGGGACCTCAAAACGTAAAAATCCGTCGAAAACTCGAGGTCGAAAAAAATCATGATTCCTATACTTTCCTTATATCTGTATACAGATAGGAAAGTAAAAATGGATTAATTCAATTTGAATTATTAGTTAAAATAAAATAATCTTACACAAAGACAGACGAAACAAACACATTTACAATGCGGTTATAAATACAATTTTTATACCAAATATTCATTAGGTTTTTGCTAATTGATTAAACAAAAAATTATGACCGAGCAATGATTTAAAATATATTATTTTGGTATTTTTAAAGTCAGGTGTTTTGTCGTCAAACGACTATAAGAACTAAGAGACCAACAAAAACACATTTAGCACGACATTACAAATACAATTTTCATACCAATAATTTAGTACACCACTAGCTATAAAATAAATAAAAAATCATTAAATAGCAATACCTCTAATTACCTTTTTTAGGTCTTTAAAAATGCGCGGTTTCGCGGAAAAATATTCTACCAAAATATCAAAAACCAATATTTAGCACGAAATTCTAGATATAATTTTTAATACGAATGATTCAATACATTAGTATCATTCAAAAACACAATAATTACATAGCAAGACCTCCAAATATGTTTTTTAGGTCTTTAAAATGGCGCAATTTCACGGATAAACTTTACTTTATCAAAATGACAAAAACTAATATTTAGCACGAAAATCCAGGTATAATTTTTAGTATGAATGATACAATACATTATTATAATTCAAAAAAATAATAAATCATTACATAGCAAGACCTCCAAATACGTTTTTTAGGACTTTAAAATGGCGCGATTCCGCGGTTAAACCTTACTTTATCAAAATGACAAAAACCAATATTTAGCACGAAAATTCAGATAAAATTTTTAGTTTGAATGACTCCATACATTAGTATAATTCAAAAAACTAAAAAATCATTACATAGCAAGATCTCCAAATACGTTTTTTAGGTCTTTTGAAAAGCGCGGTTCCGCGAAAAAAACTTACTTTATCAAAATGACAAAAACCAATATTTAGCACGACAATCCAGGTATAATTTTAAGTATGAATGATTCAATACATTATTATAATTCAAAAAAATAATAAATCATTACATAGCAAGACCTCCAAATACGTTTTTTAGGTCTTTAAAAATGCGCGGATTGGCTAATAAATTCCAAATACAATTTTATACATTACATTAGTTGTGATCAAATAAAAAATAATAAAGACGCAAATCTTTTAAATATTATTTTTAGCTATGGTAGGTATCGGTGGAATGTCGCTTAGATTATTTAGTCTGTCTAAAAAAAAACTTAAAACCCAATTTAAGAGAAGAAACTGCCATAAAACTTTAATGTGATTTAAATGTATGAAGATTACTTGCCCAGGTTCTCAAGATATATATTATATTCCACTATTAATATAGCAAATAAGGTTTAAGCAATTCCAAGAAAGCCACATTGAAAATGCGTTTGTGAATTTGTAGTGTTGTATAATCTCATTGAAGAATTTATGGCCCGAGGGTTGCTTCATTGGAAAAACCAAAGCTTTAATTGAAAAATAGGTGAAATAAAATAAAAGTATTTAACAGTTTTAGTACTGATCTCGACTTGAATGTATGCAAGTAGCTGTGCTATATTTTTTTATTGAGCTAATACATACGTTTTTAATACGAGTTTCGTGCGTAACGACACTTTAACGTGTTCGTACTGACACTTATTGGTATTTTCGTGCTAAATGTTGGTTTTTGTCATTTTGATAAAGTAAGGTTTTTTCGCGGAACCGCGCTTTTCAAAAGACCTAAAAAACGTATTTACAGGTCTTGCTATGTAATGATTTATTATTTTTTTGAATTATAATAATGTATTGAATCATTCATACTA